GATCCTGTAATATTGTAAAATTTTCAAAACTGTGTTTTTTTTTTTTAAATATGATTTTCTTACTTTTTTTGCAACTTCTAAATAAGCTAAAGTTATGCAAATACTAATGAAGTGACAGCAAGTTGAAAGTTATTTTCATTTTAATTGTAAAAAACTTTCCAAACAATTTTTGATTTTTCTATAAAAATAGATAAAATATAAGTATGCCGTAAAAATAAAACGTAAATTGTACTATTAGAAATCAACACGAAGATTTTATTTTAACGCTTCACAATCAATTTTAATAAATAATTATCAAAATATTTACCTGCTATTGATACAACTGAGACTAATAGGAAGTCGTTCCGTAGATATTGGTTGGATATGATTAGTAACACTATCAAGTAACGGATACCATTGTGTTTGCGGTTCGCGAGGACTCTCCAACATCGATGACCAGTGTTCTTTTCCGATGCCTATCGCATTCGATCCTATTGCCGTGCATCCCATCAATTCATTCGACCCAATTCTGTTGTTACAAAAATAATCAATATCATATCGTGATTTCTTTGTTACATATATTAACAATTAACAAAATTAATAATCTCTAATTACTCACCTATCGTAATCAATAACTTTAACAATCAATATTACGTCATCAATATTCTCTGCTGGAATATCAAACACCATATTTTCATTGTAAATTGGAGACAGTGTATTTTTTTTCACCGTTGTCTTCTTCTTTTTTATTCTCTTTCCTTGGCAAAATAATGAAACTTTTACATACGGATCTGAAAAATTATAATTTATTGATTATTAATAAATCGATAAGTTCATTTCGGCTATCATAGTTCAAAATGCAGTAACTCCAGAATTTTTAGACCTGATTTTTTTCAGTATTTTTGCACTTTTTAGTACTGTAAATAGACAGTCATATATTCCTTATTTTTTTTTATCTAAATATTTTTGTTGATATTTTTCTGTCTAACAAATTTTTTTTTATCAATGTAGAGTGATAATTTATCCTTACAAAGCAACTTTAAAAAAATCTAAGAAATCTCAGTTGATGTATTTCAAAGTGGAGCATCTGAATTAATATGAATAACCTCAAAAATAAATTTTTAATTTACTCTCTATTGAATTTTTTATCATTACAAGTTCATCTAAAAGTAAATACCTGATTTTCCTGTGATATCCATAGCTTTTAAATTCCTAGCTTTAACAACAGTGAGCGTAAGTCGTCCTGCCGTTGGAAGATAACAAAGCGACAACATCAGCTCCCCTAAATTAATTTTATCCTACAATATAAATCAAGAATATAATTATGATGGAATTATTCGTTTTCATTTAGCTTTCAGTCATTAATTAACAACTACTAATTCTAATTCTCATTTATTACATTAAGATAACCAGATGAAAGATGAAATATTTTATTTTTTTTAGATAATTTTTACACATTGAAAACAAA